TTTGATCCTCTAGTGAATATGAACTTTATTTGCCATTTTTTTTGCTTGTTTTTTGCGGTACGCGGGCCTCTCACTGTTGTGGCCTCTCCCGTTGCGGAGCACAGGGTCCGGACGCGCAGGCTCAGTGGCCATGGCTCACGGGCCCAGTCGCACCGCGGCATGTGGGATCTTCCCAGACCAGGGCACGAACCCGTGTCCCCTGCATCGGCCGGCAGACTCTCAACCACTACGCCACCACGGAAGGCCCTGATTTGCCATTTTGATATTCAGTTTTCCACATCCTTTCAACTTTCAAAATGGTGGCCCCTTGATTGCAACATGAAGCCTTCAGCTGTTGGCGCAAACATAGCAGATAATGGATGTTAAAAACAGTCTCACAAGTTAGGCTTAAACTCTAAGTCCTGCAAGACCTTTTCTGCCTTCCTCTACCTTTCCCAAAATTTAGTTCATATTTTGTTGTTTGTAATATTACTATACTATGAGGGTGGTCAGTTTAACAGACTTAGCAGTTTATATAGAGATTTGTTTTGTTTTGGGGGATAGAGGGGACCGACACTGGTGAGCAGCCATTCTATTATTTGTTATACCTTGTCTATTGTCTTTGCTACTGTTGGTTATAAAAGGCTTAAAATTCATACTGTACTAGGCCATGGTACCAATTCGCTTGCAGTTAAACGTTAAAATTCCAAGTTCAGATTCAAGTTTGACCAAAAGAAAAAAATTCCAGACTGTTTCCTTCGCCGTTGGCTAGCTTAGGTGTGGAAGGTGAATGTAAGACTAGATGAAATGTTCTACACAAAGTTATGCATTTCCTAGCTATAGTGTACTTGTTTCAGAAAGGGTTAAATGGTGTAGTTAGTAAATGATTTTCTAGCTGCAGGGGTTTTTGAAAAGAGATCTAGGAATTCTGCAGTTAATTGGATTCTGCAGGCATGGACTTACAGTCTTGAAAAAATTTGAGTGAGTGAAATTCTCTTGCTTTGCTCCTAGGTATAGTTCATACAGTGTCTTAGAAGTCCAGAATTTTTTCTTTTTAAGCATCTTATGCCTGTTTGTGCTGGTTGGACATTTTATATGATAAACATGACATTTTGAAAGATTTTACACAATATATTCCCTTGCTTTGCCCTTCTTCCTGTTTTTTTTTCCTTCTTCCCCCATTTCCCCAAGTCTGCATCACTGGTGCTTTTCCTCATTTTTCCCCATCTTGTGAGCAAAGTCTTAACAGTAGTAGAAAGTTAACTGCCTGGAGTCTTTTAAATATAAGTAACACGCAACCAGTAATAAGCTGTCGGTTGTTTTTTTGCTGCCTGCAAAGAAACATAAACACAGCGCTCATTTCTGGCAGGTTTTTACTGTCAGAGTTTCTCCTATTATATTTATCTTACAATTTGCCAGGGGGTGAAGTTATTAAGTTTTAGCAGCAGCCATCGATCAAGTTCACAAGTTAACACGATAAAGGCTCTATGCCGCTCCGATCCGGGGAAATGATGATCCTCACTCGGTAATTAACTAAATGAGAAAGTTAAATCTTACTTGAGAGCTGGGAGAGATGAAAGAGAGATGTTTGTCAGTTTCTCAGTGGAAATTAGAAGCAGTTTTCTGCAATTCCCTAAGCTGCTGCTCTGTCATATTTTACATAAGCACTGGGAAAACGTCCTGTAATTAGTGCTGTCATGGAGGATTTTTTTTTTTTTTTGCTGAAGGATGTTGGAATAATTCATTAGATTATCAAGAAAGGCTTGTGTCCTGAAATGATTAGCACAGTGAAATTTAAACCATTAACGATAACAAGTTTAGAGCTTGCTGCAGTGCAGAGGCACCCGGGGTATGTCTGTGCCTATTTCAGTCATTTCTTATAATTAAACATTATGTCCTTCTTTTCCCCCCATCACTAAGACCCATCCAAAAATCCTTTTAAGGTGGCACTGTCTACATCAGTGCGTTTACCAGCCTTGGAGGTGTGCGTGGTTAGTAGCTATCATAATGCAGCAGTAAATTAAACTGCTGTGAGCTTCTTGGTTGAGAACAAAAGAACCTATCACCCTGGAAGCTATGAAATTGCATGAGGGAACCCACTACAGAAACAAGAGCCTCAATTTGAAACCTAAATATGTTAAGTGACTATCCTATCCCTCAAAAATCCGGAAGTAATAAAAATGGCTTTGTTGTGATTTTGGTGAATTTTTTTATATGGCTTTTCCTATAATTAGTAAATAGAAAAAAAAGATTGCCAAGTGTCCAGTCTTTAAATAATCATTTATACCTGGGCATTTGTGAGTTCATTTCCTGGTAAGTTTTATTTAAAAGAATTGGAGTGATTGCAAGCTTTTTCTTGTTGGGTATTAGAAACCAGTCAAATTCATGTGAACTTTCCTTCTGCTGACAAGTCTGCCCCTTCCTGTCTTCCACGTTCACTAATCAGATCTGACATATTTATGAGTTCACCTAATATATAATCATATTTAGTAGAAGCTGTTAAAATATTAATACAATAATCCCACTGAGAAATGTGATGCTTACTCCTGTTGAAATGTTTGTCCTGTTCTATACATGCAGCCACCATTTTCTTTTCACTTGCCCTCTTACCTGAGGCGCTCCCCCAAAGATAAGGGACTACTTCTTTGGTCACTGAAAGTTATAGAGATTTTTTAAAAACAGAAAACTGGAAAATGTTAAAAGTTATGGTTCCACTTTTGAGCATTCATTACCTTTTACTCTGCATGTTCAATTTATGGCCAAATTCTTTCACTTTCTCTTGAAACTCACTTGTTAAAAGATGCTTAAGTGCCAGTGGACTCTATTGAACCTTCTGGGTCCCTTTTTCTTTTCTACCCTAGCTCTTTGTAAGTTCTAGAGCTGTTCTGGATCTCCCTGCTATCACCATCTCCATCCTTAGGTGTGCTTACTTATTTCTTTCAGTCCTAATCAAAATGTAGACAATATCATTTCCTCTTAATTTAACAAAGACAATGTTGACTTTTTTTTTTTTTTTTTTTTTTTTTTTGCGGTATACAGGCCTCTCACTGTTGTGGCGTCTCCCGTTGCGGAGCACAGGCTCCAGACGCGCAGGCTCAGCGGCCATGGCTCACGGGCCCACCCGCTCCGCAGCATGTGGGATCTTCCCGGACCGGGGCACGAACCCTTGTCCCCTGCATCGGCAGGCGGACTCTCAACCACTGCGCCACCAGGGAAGCCTGACTTTTTTTTTAAGAGATATTTTTACAAAGAAATCAAGAGAAAGCAGTAGGAAAACACTTTGAAATCAAAGTTTTTGTATTCTTATTTAGCTGAAGCCTGGCAATAACCAACAGAGAATAGTATAGACCTAAAAACTCCTCCTCTTTCCCATGCAAAAATCTTGAATGTTTTACCTTGTTTCTCCTGGCCACAAGGAGCAAGAACCCTGGTTTTATCCCTATCCAGGTTAATGTACCAGATTAAATATTTGAAAGATCAGTCCTACTGAAGAAGTAAATCACTATACTGAAATAAATGTGTATTATAACCTAGATTTATAATTCTCAACAGGGCTTTTCTCCTCCTTCCTCTCTTGTGAGGGTAAAATACCTTTCTTCTAAGCACTTCCTAATCTACCTCTTCTAACCTTAGCCATGATCACTTCTTGCCTGGATTATTTTATCAGCTCTAATTGGCCTTCCTTCCTCTGCTCTTTCAACTTGCCCTTGTTATCCCCTCCCCACTGCCCCAGATGCCCCCCACTCCCTTTTCTCTGTGTGGTACCTAGTATAAGTATTTCTAAAGCATAAATTAGATGATGCCATATTTAACTATCTCTAAACCTCCAGGGACTCTCCTTTACACTTAACAAGAAATCCAGACTTCTTACTGTGACCCAGAAGGCCTTACATGATCTGACCCTGCATCACCTTACTAACCTTGTTTCTCACCACTTTCCCCCTCATTCAGTTTGCCCCACCCATACCAGTCACCTTTCTTTCTTTCACTTGAACATACCTTTGACTTGTTCTTCCTTCTGTCTGGGAGGCTTTTCCCCCAGATCTTCACAAGGCTTGACTCTCATCTTTCAGATCTCAGCTCAAATGTTACCTGCTTCAGCGTCATTTCATAACCACCTCAGTTAGAGTAGGTTGTACTATTCACTTCCTGCTTTTTGTTACCTTATTTTGTTTTCTTCACAATACTTACTGGTTTCTGAAATTAAAATATTTATTACATATTCTCCCTCTACTCCTCACCAGAGAAAGAAACTTTGTCTACCTGTTCACCAGTTTCCCTAGCACCTAGAAGAATGCCTAGCACACACTAGTCACTCAATAAATGGTTGTTAAAATTATGGTTACCACGGGTAAGGGGGGAGGGATAAATTGGAAGATTGGGATTGACACATACATACTACTATATATAAAATAGACAACTAATAAGGACCTACTATATAGCACAGGGAACTCTACTCAATACTCTGTAATGGCCTATATGGGGAAAGAATCTAAAAAAGAGTGGATATATGTATAACAGATTCACTTTGCTGTACACCTGAAACTAACACAGCATTGTAAATCAACTATAACCCAATAAAATTTTTTTTTAAAAAATGTAACACAGGGAGGCCCAGGGCAGGCCAGCTCAGGCCAAGACATCACTCTGATCCCACCCTGGTAGCCCTGTGTCCCCTCCCTGTGTGTGTGAAGGTGGGGGTTTATGTGGGATCGGTCTCCCTCAAGCAAGAGCAGGCTGATGAGGGGTTAGAAGTCTGATGGGCCAATTATGTCCACACCCCAGGTCAAAGCTGGCTGGGCTGGATGTAGAGAGCCCAGGCAGTGCCCTTCTACCTGAGGTTTATCACAAGCCCTCTAGATGTATATCCTTTCTCCTTAGTGCATATCGTAGCAGACACAGGTCTGTGCCTGATCTGGGAGCAGAAGGTCAAATGGGCAGAAGAAGCAGTGATAAGATACTGGCCAGTCAGGGCTCTGATACCTCCGGGCCAGGCCAGCTGCTGGTCACTGTCATTGCAGAGCCCCACCCCAGAGACTGGCGAGGAGCTGCTTGATGGGGACATCCAATTCATCTGCCCAAGTGAGGGGCCGGTGCACCACACTGCCAGGGAGGGCCAGTGCAGGCTCCCGTTGGCCACTGAGGGTTCATCAGAACCAGGGCCCAGAGGTGAACAGGAAAGGCCTTGGCCCCGAACACCACCCAGGCTACTCCCCAGGATCCTGTCCTGGGCTCACAGGGAGCTTATTAGCACATCCGGCTCCAACATGGAGCACCGTGTCAACCTTCCCTTGAGTCAGCTGTAGGACCTGGAGTCCACCGAGGCAGAGTCTGAAGCTCCAGCAGGAGACCCAGCCCCAGATGATGATTCACCCCCTGGGCAGGGAGAACCCGCTACTGCTCCTGCAGGAGACCCAGAGCCAGGTCAAAATTCACCACCCCTCCAGGGAGAACCTGCACTAGCTCCTGCAGGAAATCCCCACCCCGCCACGGGCAAATCAGGCTCTTCAACCACCACCATTGTCAGCTCCTGATCTACACCATCAACCTGCTACCCCAACCCGAAATTTATCTTTCCTCAGTCTTTGTGTTTGAGTGATTTGTAATTTTATCTTTTTCTTCCCTGTTATTTATGGCATTCTGTACTTTATGTTTTAAGTGTAAAGTAATAAAATTTAAACTTTTTTTTAAAAAAATGGTTGTTGGTTGATTGATAACACTGAAGTTCCAGCCTTAGTCAGAATTCTTGTCCTATCCCTCTTAGGCTGCAGCCTTATCCCGAGCACAACTTTTACCCATTTTATTCTTACATTCATTCATCATCGTAATCATTATATCCCTTTCCCCCTGCCCCCCATGGGTTTCAATGCCAGAGTCTTTCCTCAGAGTCCTTCTTAAGGCCAAACAGAATTCTTAAATATCATTTGCATCTCTCTAGTCATCAATATTATGCTCTGTATCTAGTCCTTGCACCCCCAATTCCAAATGTTGTCCTATATCTGGAACATTTTCCTTTCTCTACTTAACATACCCTTCCTTGTGATTAACGCAGGGTTTACATGCAAACTAGAAACGTCTGTCATCTTACCATCAAGTTCAGCCAGTCCATGCTGTATCTCCAGCCTACACACAGTATGTACGGTTAGCAAAGTCAGCACACTTAACGTTTCCGTGGTGGTGGTTAGGCTAGTTGGTGTCTGCAAGTATATATTTTTCCCTCCTGGCCCAGGCAGCAGCTTCAGAGAAATTCATGGTAATTTTGAAAGTGATGCTTTAATATATTTTCAGGGAAGCAAATGTTAACCCTTGGCCTTTGAGGACTAAGCTGAGGACAGTCATATAAATACTTAAGTCCTTTCATTTTGTGTGTGTGTCACCTGACGGCTTCTTCCTTTCTTTCTTTTGGAGATAACTGTTCATTGTAAACAGAAAAGCAGAACAGGAGATGTGCAGGGGTGGCAGAAAGTTAGTGTTACCATTAAACTGAGTTTGTTTGTCAGCTTTCCTAGACATTTGAACAGTAGTGGTTGAGTCATCAGGCTTTTGCTGGGAAAGCCAGATCAATTCTACTGCCACAAGTAACCATTACCGTCACTTCCATACACTCTAATATACAACCTTTTGATTTTTTAATACTTGAACTTTTTCACTGTACCCCTGTGGATTTTCTGAGATTCCCAAAGTGAAATTTTGCTGCATTTACTTTAGACATTAGTAGAAAATCCGTAAGGGAGAAGGGTAGAGGGAAGAGGCTTGATAACAAAGACCTTTATCTCCAGAGTTCTTTACAAATATAATATCTTAGTTATGAATGAAATTAATATTACAGTGGCATTTATCCTTAGGAATATGCTATCCTTAGAAGTTCTTAAAATCTATTTTATTAAGCTATAATTTACATACAATAAAATACACCCATTTTAAGTATCCAGTTCGATGAATTTTGGCAAATGTATATACCTGTGTAACAGTCAACATATAGAGCATTTTCATTACCCCCAAAACTTCACTGGTGCCCTTACCCAGTCAATCCCATCCCCATATCCAGCCCCAGGCAACCACTGTTCTGTTTTTATCACTATAAATTAGGTTTGTTATTCCTAGAGTTTTATATAAGTAGAATCATAAAGTATATATTCTTTTTGTGCCTGGCTTCTTTCATTCAGCATGTTTTTGAGATTCATCCTTGTCATTTTGTGTATCTGTAGTTTGTTCTTTTATTGCTGAGTACTATTCCTTTGTACAGATATATCACAATTTGTTTATCAGTTAAACTCTTGATGGGCATTAGGATTCTTTCAGTTTGGGACTATTATGAAGCAGCTATGAACATTCATGTACAAGTTTTTGTGTGGAAATTTTTTTTTTCCATTGGGAAGGGGGAAACACCTAGGAGTGAAATTCCTGGGTCATATGGTAAATAGATATATAACTTCATAAGAAACTGTCAGCCTGTTTTGTAAAATGGTTGTGCTATTAAACATTACTGGCAGCAATGTATGGAAGACCCAGTTGCTCATCGTTGTTGCCACTACCTAGTATGGTCAGTCTTTTTAATTTTAGCCATTTTAATAACTGTGTAGTCGTGTCTTGTGATTTTAACTTGCATTTCCCAAGTGACTCATGATATTGAACATCTTTTCATGTGTTTATCGGTCATCCCGTATATGGATCCTTTTTTGTGAAGTGTTTGTTCAGGTCTTTTGCCCTTTCAAAAAACAAAACAAAACAAAATAGCATTACTTGTTTTCTTTTCTTATCGAGTTCTAAGGGTTTTTAAAAAATATATGTTTGTTCTTTCTTGTTCTTTTATGCCTTATCTATGAAATGTTTGCCTATCCCAATAACACCAAGATTTTCTGTTTTCTCCTAGAAGTTTTATTTTCTTCTAGAAGTTCAGCTCCTATGTATAAGTCCAGAATCCACTTATGTTAACTTTTTTTTTTTAGATTTTTAAAACTTATTTATTTATTTATTGGGTGTGTTGGGTCATCGTTGCTGTGCATGGGCTTTCTCTAGTTGCACCGAGTGGGAGCTACTCTTCGTTGCGGTGCGCAGGCTTCTCATTGCGGTGGCTTCTCTTGTTCTGGAGCAGGGCTCTACGTGCACAGGCTCAGTAGTTGTGACTCACAGGCTCCGGATGCGCAGGCTCAGTGGCCATGGCTTACGGGCCCAGCTGCTCCGTGGCATGTGGGATCCTCCCGGACCGGGGCACGAACCCGTGTCCCCTGCATCGGCAGGCGGACTCTCAACCACTGCACCACCAGGGAGGCCCGCCCCTAATTTTTTAATAAGATCTAAACTAGAGAACAAGGTTCATTTTTTCTATATGGATATCCAGTTATTTCAGCATAATTTGTTGAAAAACACTATCCTTTACCTATTTAATTATCTTGGCACCTTTCTCAAAAATCAACTGGCTATATATGTGAAATTGTTTGTGAATTTGCTGTTCTGTTCCACTGATCTACATGTTTGTCCTTACACCAGAGCCATGCTATCTTGATTACTATTACTTTTTTTTTTTTATAAACTATACTACAGAGTTCCATCCATCAAGTTACCACATGCTGTAGTTTAAGGGTGTGATTCTTTTTTTTTTTTTTTAATAAATGTATTTATTTATTTTTAGCTGTGTTGGGTCTTCGTTGCTGTGCACAGGCTTTCTCTAGTTGCGGCGAGCAGGGCCTACTCTTCACTGCAGTGCGCAGGCCTCTCATTGCCATGGCCTCTCTTGCTGTGGAACACAGGCACATGGGCTCAGTCATTATAACTCGCGGGCTGTAGAGCACAGGCTCAGTAGTTGTGGCACACAGGCTTGGTTGCTCTGAGGCACGTGGGAGCTTCCCGGCCCAGGGCTCAAACCCGTGTCCCCTGCATTGGCAGGCAGATTCCTAACCACTGCACCACCAGGGAAGCCCGATTACTATTACTTTATTGTAAGTCTTGAAATTCGTTAGTGTGAGTCCATCTTTGTTTTTATTTTTCAAGATTGTCTCGGCTAAAGTTTAGGTCTTTTGCACTTCTGTCTAAATTTTAGAATCAGCTTGTCAGTTTGCCTGCTAGATTGATTGATATTGCATTGACTTTACAGATCAACTGGAAAGAATGAACATCTTAACAATATTGAGTCTAATTTGTGAACATATATTTCTCCATTTATTTAAGTATTTTAAGTTTTCCCTCAGCAATGTTTTGTAGTTTTCAGGTGTTACACATATGTTGTTAAACTTATTCCTAAGTATTACATTTTTTAATGCTACTGTAAATTGTATAGGCAGTTTTTTTTAAATACGTATTTTAAAAAATGAAATAAAGAGACCTTCAAAATGGCGGAGGAGTAAGACATAGAGATCACCTTCCTCCCCACAAATACATTAGAAATACATCTACATGTGGAACAACTCCTACAGAACACCTACTGAACCCTGGCAGAAGACCTCAGCCTTCCCAAAAGACATATTTTTTCTTCCTTTTTCTCTTTTTGTGAGTGTGTATGTGTATGCTTCTTTGTGTGATTTTGTCTGTATAGCTTTGCTTTTACCATTTGTCCTAGGGTTCTGTCTGTCCATTTTGTTTGTTTGGGTATTTTAGTACAGTTTTTAGTGCTGGTTATCATTGGTGGATTTGTTTTTTGGTTTGGTTGCTCTCTTCTTTCTTTTCTTATTACTTTTTATTTTTAATAATTATTTTTATTTTTTATTTTAATAACTTTATTTTATTTTACTTTATTTTTTTCTTTCTTTCTTTTTTTCTCCCTTTTCTTCTGAGCCATACGGCTGACAGGGTCTTGGTGCTCCAGCCAGGTATCAGGCCTGTGCCTCTGAGTTGGGAGAGCCGAGTTCAGGACATTGGTCCACCAGAGACCTCCCGGCTCCATGTAATATCAAACGGCAAAAGCTCTCCCAGAGAACTCCATCTCAGTGCTAAGACCCAGCTCTGCTCAGTGATCAGCAAGCTACAGTGCTGGACACCCTATGCCAAACAACTAGCAAGACAGGAACACAACCCCACCCATTAGCAGAGAGGCTGCCTAAAATCATAATAAGGTCACAGACACCCCAAAACACACCACCAGAGGCAGTCCTGCCCACCAGAAAGACAAGAGCCAGCCTCATCCACCAGAACAGA